AATTGATTCATCGCTGGGTTATAGATCAAGTGCCCAGACTTAGTTATAACGCAGCGTAGGTATACATAAGCAAACGCCCCTGTGTGAGTCGACATTGCCTCATTCAGCAGTTTGAAGAGCAATGGCCGGGCTAGAGTTAACAGCGCGATCTCCTACGGCCTTTGCACCGGGACTGGTTGCTCCCTGCGGCGGCAGCTGGAGGGGTCGCTGTAACCCTACCGCTCCTACAGCGCTTTAATCCTTTCTGAGAGGCACATCTTCCTCACCGTGTTGTCCCCTTTGCTCCGGGGTTGAGTTGGATAAGTTTTTAAAGTAATTAGACCTACAGGTTGTGAGGCCGGCTGCCTTCAGGGGCTTATGCGGAACACGTCTTTCTTTTCGTCTCCTTAAGAAACAAGTTCGTATAGACTAGCAGTTAATTATGGTAAGCCTAAAATTATTTCATCGGCTCACTACACTTATTTCAAGCAAGTATAATTGCACACATTTTTTATCGCAGTGATCGGGGAGCAGTTGTTCAGGATGACTCAGGCGGCGTTGGGCATGGTTGTGTGGTCGTACCCCTACGCGGCTAAAGAAGTCCCATTGCTCCTCATTGCTCCTCGGCGAGAGTGAAGGCCACAACGAAACCGCTCTCCAGCCCAATGGAAGAACATGGCAGGGCAGCACTGAGCATCTCGGTTGATTTTATTTCGCAACACTCATTGCGGGGACTCTAAGAAACGAGAGAGAAGCGCGAGGAAACTTCACGCACCTTCACGAGTGTTGATTTTGGGCCGGCTTGCTAGAACAGCGGCTCACCCACGTGGTCTCACCTGAGACTGAGTGAAAAAAATTGGGTTGTGTGTGTGTTTATACAGCCTAGAACTTGGTCTGCCTCACATGGGCGACGAGTCTCCCAGCTGTAGATGAGAAATTTAGCCAGTGCGGTACCAGCCGCTAGCCTGGGGTCTTTAACGTGCATCACGCAGTAGTGATACACGACCGCACGCCGGTACGATGCTCATCCAGATCGAAACGGGCAGGGGTGGGGCTCGAACCCAGGATCCCTGGGTTCTGCAAGACTGAGTGAAAGAAAGCAGTGCAAGGGTGGGGCGCGCGACTGTCTTGAGACGCGGTTCGAGTCCCGCTCAGCTCGAGCGCTGGCTTTGACATTGCTTCCTTTCCCAGTCTCAGCTGAGTCGCTGTTTCTAGGAAGTCGGACCTGGCTGCTTAAATTAGTTGCAAAGGAGAAGAGTCGGTGGTTGGTGTAAAGCGCAAATTGGAAGCTTGGAGTCGGTGCATTATTAAACCAACACCATGAAAGTTGATTGTCTAACATTCCTCTTAATTGAATAAATGAAATAAAAAATAATCCAAAGAAAGACGACCTAGTGAGGGTTTCGCACATGTGCAACGCTCTTGATAGAGCACTTCATGGTAAGGGGGTTTATTAGACCCTTTTCTTGAGCCTCAGATTTGAGTCACGAGGACTGGCTGTTTGTTGCCTTACCATAAGGACCAGTCACTGCGGTCTGCACATAACACTCTCCGTAAGTTGTCTACGAGCAGAATAATGTTAAAACTGATAATCTCAAATACCGGCACGATGGCGAACAAAACAGAATCAGCGCGGTTGGAAAGCTGGAACCTTAAAAAAAATATCTGCTAAAAATCTTGGCGTGAAGGGAAAGAAATTCAGGTTCGTCGTCACCATTATAAGGTGTTCAATATTTGCACTTTTCGTGGTATCGGAACACGGCGGGCAGCATTGAATAGCTTATTTATAGGTACTAGTTGTTTTCGAGAACGTGCTCGTGACCCTTTTGACGTGCTTCTCGTTTTTTCTTTTTTTTTTTCTTGCAAGGTTAGTTGACGCACTGCAAGAACGAGAAAGTAGCGCAAAGAAATATTTAATAAAAAAAAAATGAAAGCCGTTTACAAACCCCTGTAAGGCCGAATCGGAGCGCAGCTCTTGAGGAGGAGTAGGGAAGGGTACTGAGGGGGGTCACGTGGCGCCGGGGGGAGGCGGCTCACGTGACCTCGGGGGAGGGGGTCACGTAACCTCGGGGGAGGGGTTCACGTGACCCTGAGGGGGGTCACGTGACCTCGGAGTGGTCACGTGACCTCGGGGTGGTCACGTGACCTTGGGGGTCACGTGACCTCGATGGGGGTCACGTGACTTGGGCAGTCACGTGACTTTGAGTGTCACGTGACCTTGTGGGCCACGTGACCCTAGGGAAGGGGTCACGTGATCTCTGGGGGTCACGTGACCTTGGGGGTCACGTGACCTTGGGGTGACCTTGGTTACGCCGACGGCGACGGCGACGCCGCTCAAGCCGGGAACGGGCCCCTAAGAGCTGCGCTCTAAAAGAACCCTCCGCGTCAAGAACAGAATCAACGCCCCTTTGCCTGAACTTCTCAACCTCGAATTTCAGCCACCTTTTAAACGATGGCTGCCTGGGACATATTGCTCCGCCAATCCGGCATTCGAGCGCTCTTCGTCTTTCAAACACATGCTGACCTCACGATGATGATTATGTACAGTAGCGACACAATAACCATTCAGTACTAAAACACGACCGCACGCCGGTACGATGCTTCGATAAAAATGACAAGAAAGACAGGTTTTTCTTATCAACAGTGAGGTCTGCTGTAAAAGTAAGCGATTAATCAGTGTAACAAGCACTTAGCTTTCACTTGCAGAGATGAAAAGCCTGTCTTTATTCTTCTTTTGTCCGAAGCCCTTACATTTCACTGCCATATTAAGCGTAAAGGGAGGACTATGACCCTCGCTGTAGTTCAAAGCAAAAGCTTGCTCTAGAACAGTGGTTCTCAACCATCGATGTTTCGCGGGCCCCTTGTGGATCGGCGGAGATGATGGAGGACCCCGTTCGTTGTGAGAAGAGGGGAAAGCTATAGGTGAAATGTAAGCCTAAATGATTTAATAAATGGGTATAACTAAGGCCGAGTGTGAAGTAGATCTTTCTCATTGACATACACACGAAAAAACTTGCCCGAAAAGGCAAACATTTCTTCTCGACCTGAAAAAAGGCAACCCTTATTGCCGCGGTTAACGGATGAGGCAGGGCTTCGCGGACCCCCATTCGAAAACCACTGCTCTAGAAGTACTCGGTACAAGCGCTTGAAAGAATTGGACAGGCTTTTACTGGGGACATTCACATTCTTTGCAGCCTTTTGCTTTGAACTACAGCGAGGGCGTCTGAGGCGAACTAAAACTTGGAGCGTGTTGTAGATTTGTTGAACGTGTCATCTATTTAGCAACTGAAGCAAGCGACGCCGGCCCTGTCTCTGGTGCTCCGGCACCTTTGCTTTTCTTAATCGGCGTTCGAACGCTTCAGGAACATTGATTCGATCTTCAAACACCCGGTATAATGATTGAAGCACATCATAAAATACTCGCCTTAGAGCGCCGCATACAAGCTTCAATATTCCTAGTTTTATGTGTTTCTCCCGTAGAGTTGCGTGTATTGTCTGGTGTCAAGCAATGGCCGCCGGTGGGTGCCACTGATGAGCTACCGATCCGCTATCCACCTTACCAATAGAGACCAGGGGTAAACACAGAATTTTGGGGAATAAAAGCTGGACATAGCGCCCCCTATAGTTCGATCTTATTGCCAATTACATGTCGTGACGGTTCGTTTTTCTTATTATTTTAATGCATTTACTGCGCAATCCACTTATAGCCGTAATGAGAAAACCAGAAAATTTAATAGTTATAACCGATTACCGTTGTATCTGAACTAGAAACTTATTGTTATAAGTGGTACATCGATATATGTGGTATCGTTATAAGTATATAGCACTCTACTAAATATTTTTAGAAGTGACATAAAAGTGTTAAACATCATGAAGGAAAATATATTTAGGAAATAAAGGAAACAACATATTTCCTATGTTTTTAGCCAACCAGACAGATATCTGTGAAAAGTTCAGCTTTTATAAACAAAAAAAAAAAAGAAAACTTCGTCGTTGTGCATCAAATTAATTACTTGGCTAAATATATTTTCGTGTTTTGTTTTGATTTTTGTTTTTTGCCCCGAGGCTAGTAAAAATCGTCTTTGCAATATTTTCTCTTGGTTTCATCAAGGGCCCATGAAACGATTTTAAAAGTGAATTTCATCCACCGCACGTTGTAGAAGGTTTAAAAATAAACGAACACAAAAATAGACAACGAAAAAATCGAGAGACGCATTCAATTACTGGACTACCAACTGCGTTTAATGATACAGTTCATCTTCATCGACTAGCTAAGACCGTTCAAAACATAGCTTGCTGCACTGTTTCCTTTTTTTTCCTGGGGGCATTGATGGCCGATTGGTTTAGCGCACAGAAAAGTCAAATTAGTTGTTAGTTGATTTAAACAGCAGGAAGTTAGTGTGCCAGAACATGCCGACATTGTTAGCCACTGTAGATGAGCAATTTAGCCAGTGTAATACAACCGCTAGCCTAGGGTCTTTGACGTGCACCACGCAGTAGTGATACACAACCACACGCCGGTGCGATGCTCATCCAAATCGAAACGGGCAGGGGCGGGGATTGAGCCCAGGATCCCTGGGTTGTGCAGCGCGAGCTTTCGCTCCACGTGGTCCGAGCTGGTGTGCGCTAGACCACTTGATGGCCACCGATTCCTCTGTATGCTTCAAAGATGCCTGCAAACAGCTTTCGTACGACCGATGTGACCGTCATACAAGAAATGCCTCTGACAGTTTCTGCAAGACTGTCTTTGGTATGATGTATCGGCAGTGTGACTGCGCCTTGTAACTAAATCAGTCAAAACTTATGTGATATCGGACTTGGAAACAGTCTCAGATAGCGTTCGCTGCCGGTCACTCAATCGGGCAGGTTCAGTGTGAGGAAGGCTGCGTACGGGCCAGCGCAGAGAAAGGGAAGTCTGAAACACCACAAAAACTTCGTGCCGATCGAGCGCAATGTATTATTTTTTTTTATGTCTCTCAGTGTTTTGGGCAGTTTTTCGAATCGCCTGAACTGGGCGGGAAAATCGTACACACCAACACGCGCCGGCCCTGACGTCACGCCAGAGCGGTGGCGCTGGTGTCGGCTCGGTGGGCATGCGCAGTGGCTGCACCTCACTTAAAACTGACTCATCTCGAGTGAGCGGGTACAAAGAACAGTTTCGTGCGCAAGTCAGAGAGTACTTTCTCCTGGACAGAAGCGTCCTTACAGCAACGTCTGCTGCTCTTCTCTGCTTTCTAATAAAAATACAGCCAAACGCAAGAACCACCTAGGCTTTAAAATAACGTTTTGCTGAGGTACGCGGACAGTTTTTAATGCAAAGAAAAGACAGCGGGCGCTCGATGGAAACCAGGGCGAATTCACGGTGTCGGGCCGGCGATGCTATTGATCCAGTCGACCTGAGTAGAGATTCGCGCTAACACAGAGGGCTGCCTGCGTGCCGCACACTTCGTGCCCCACGACATACTTCCGGCCAGCACGTAACGGCCGTCCGACCTGGCGCACTGCAGGGGTCCCCCGGAGTCGCCCTGGGAAAAAAGAGCGTGCGCGGTTGTAACGGATAGCCTAAGGCCGCAGCCGCACTTCGCGTACTTCATGCAGAGGTCACGGAGTTTCTCTGCAGACCTGATCTGCAGACACGCCTCAGACATATGTTCGAAGCATGTTTGCCTCTTATGCACGTACTACGAACATGTTTGCGCATTGTCTGTATGTCCAGTGTGAAAGAACCACAAACAATGAAGAAACATGCCTCAGAGGGTGTCTGCAGTGCAGTCTGTCTTTTGTATGATGCATTACCAGTGTGACCACGACTGAAGAGCGACTTAAAGATTTCATCTACGTTCAAATAAAATATAATTCTGCGGTTTTTTTTTTTTTTTTTTTTGGGGGGGGGGGGGGGGGGGGAATCATATTTTGCCTTGAATTCGGGGGTGTTGTTATTCGGGATTTATTTGCTTCCACGGATTCGGCCTTTTCTGGTGTCAATGTTTGACGTCCCAAAAAAATTGGCGTTTATTGGGTCTTGTGTGGAAAAAAACTGGACATGGACATGAGACTGCCCCAAACACAAGACAAGTACATAACAAAAACGTTGGGAACATCTTTCCGGTATTTCTAAGAGAAGGAAGTGGGACAGTGGACGTGGTTCTCTGAGAAAGTAGTAGCCTCGCGGACAGTTCAGCACCGGCTGTGTTCTAGATGAAGACGAAATAAGACTGCCGATAAAGACCCCAGTTTCACTCCCAGTCTCACACGCGTTCCCGGATCCGTGAACAAAAACCGTGAAGAAAATAATTATTGCGCGGCATCCGTGTGCTCTAGAGAAAAGCAAGCGCGCTATTGGCCAGTCCGTGGACATCAGTATGCCTTCGTTTGCAAATTTCCGCTTTGTGGTGCAGTTTAAATAGCACGAATTTCTTACCTGACAGCTTCCTTTTCCGCCGGCTTTCGGACCGGCACAGATCATGGTGTTTTCTACAACATCATTAATGGAACGGTAATAATAGCGGCAGGTTCTGTAAGCCACGATGGGCAAATCGACCTTCTGAAGGGATTGGGATAGGCTTCCACCCTGGGTCACTGCAGAGAGAAGACGAAGAAAGCAAGAGTCAAGGTCCATTATTTACCCACGGTATCCGGACACTGGGTGGTTAATATTGGTCATTCGTTTTTACAGCGGAGCTGTAAAGGGCTAATTTCCCCAGCATCGTGTGCGTCCTCAAATGACCTGATGAAACAAAACTCTGGACACCTACCGCCATCTATGAGCGACGGCGGCAGCCAGACAACCGACTTGCCAATTGTCTGCTTGCCGCCGTCGCTCATAGATGGTGGCAACCTTTCGAGCATTTCCACCCTGGCTGGCCGACTCGCAGCCATGCATTACTTCATTCCCAACACAATAGTACAGCTTCGCTGGTCTCCCTTCTTCACACCAGTGGAAAGGCTGCAGGTTTTTTTTATGTATTTAATAAAAGCATAAATGATAACGTTATCTACGCAAAATAACAGGCGAAGGCTATACTAGACTAAGCCCTCTCCCCAAAACACAAAGCAAAAAACAAAACAAAATTACAGGAGGACACTTAGGACTGCTTACGTGTGGGAATGCGAAAGGATTCCTACGCGCAGTGCACTCCCACAAGCAGCGGGCCCCGCTGTCCTCCGCAGAGGCTGGCCGGGCGGCGCGACATTGCTGAAAGCAGAGCGTACAACCATAGCCTGCAGATCGCCACGAGACGCGGCCACCGAAAGTGAAATGGTAGAGTGGCAGACAAGATGCATGTAAATCGCGATCCAAACCAACGCGTTTTTGTGCGCGCGTAGGTCGTGCGCTTCCCGGAAGTTGCGTATTTTGTGACGTTTTTGCTGTTTCTGGTGCGTTTTCTGAGTCACAAGCATGCGCGTTGGTTAGGACGGTGCGTTTTCGGGCGATAGGAGAGCATCTTCGCCATACGGCGAAGAAACGTGGAGCAGGAACTGGTGCCCTCCACCGATTGGCCGGGAGAGGATATGGGAGAGCAGTGCCCTACTGCGTCACAGGGCGTTTTCATGCGCCTTCAGAAAAAGTTGAAATCATCCAACTTCCTTATGCGCGCCCAGAAGGCGCAAGGAATGAGGGCGACGTCACGAAATACGCAATTTCCGGGAAGCGCACGACCTACGCGCGCACAAAAACGTGTTGGTTTGGATCGCGCTTAACGGGCGACCCTCTGCGGCGAGACGCCGAAACACACTTATCCCGAGCGATGGGATGCCCGCTCGGGAGACCGCATCTTTTTTCGTCGGGTTTGAAAACCGTGTTTCGGGTCCTCGCCGCTGCAAAAGCTGTGCGCTGAATACCAGACTCCCCGGGAAATTCTCTGTGCTATCAGATCCTCGCGCTCCAAATCTACGACCGGGTGCTCTATGGCTCCGTCACCGAACTGCCAGGCTTTGTGAGTATAGAGGAGGCTATGGTACAACACGTGATGCAGTAGTGCACAGGGAGAGGGAGGGAAATTTTCCCGCTTCCCTCTCCCCCCCCCCCCCCTCCGACCATGCCTGTCTGGTGGCCCAAGTGGGGGGAAAGTGTGGTGGCGGCGAGCGCGCCACCCTCTCTCTTTTACCGACGCGCGCGCCGCAGCGCAGGCATGAGGGCTTTTCCGTGGGGCGGCGTTTCTTGGAACTGTGACGCGTCGCAGCCAATCGGGATTTAGCCGCTGTTTTCCGCTGCTACAGTCGGAGTTTATGTGTCATTTTTTTTTTTTTTGCGGCCACAGACAATCCTGGCTTTTCTCCATGGAACAGCTAATGCTTGCGCATTAGAATAATTTACATGCAACCCAGAATGTAAAGTTCTCTGGCGGGGGAATACTGAAGGCCTCGTAGTTGAAGTTGCTAACTGGTTAAAACTTCATTTATCACAACCATCAAAGAGTCACAGACACCGCAACTATCAAAGAGTGCACTGGTAGAGTATAGCGTAAATGCCCAAGGTTGTTTCCCGTTGACGGCATTAGCAACAGCAAATGAGACAAACTCGTTGAAGTTGCAGTGTAGAGCAATCCCGAGTTAGAAACCACCATACGCGAGTTCTAATTCTTTATGTTGTGTGTAATAACACCATCCGCGGTTACTGTCTATTCAGTGCCTGTCCGTGTAGTCATGCCTAAAGAATTTCTATATGTTCCTCTTGTGGAGCAAAGCATCACAATGGCCTCAACTTTTTGCGGAGAAGCGACCGTCATTCTCGCAGGAGACGCGACGGGTGCGACGATATGCGGCGGCAGCTCACCGCGCATGCGCTTTTGCGCGTCGCCCGGGTTCCTCGGAAGCTCGCGCGCGCAGGCGCTCCGTGGTCGGTTGTCGTGTCGTCTGCTTGTACATGGCCGCGTTCAAACAGCGCTTGCATTATAATACATAACGCAATTACGCTCACGTCTTAGTGGCACACAATGTCCGAAGGTTCAAGAACCTTTGTTCATGTCAGGCTTCAGTGCAATATTAAACATTACGCGAACGCTCAGTGAACAATATGTCCGGCCCCAAACCCGGTACCCTGCAAGGTCACTTTGCCGCAAGCACCGTATTCGAATTTGCCACAAGTGACCCATTCTCCGCCAATGAGGAGTTGGCGGAGAAAGATAAAGAAAAAGAAAATACTCTGGATCTGGCCATTTAGTTACTAAAGCTATACCCAGCCACGCACAAAAACAGACACCGACCGTCCTTCGTTCGTCCCCATCCGCTGGCGGTGCAGGTCATTCCGTCGAATTCCTGGTTGGGCGTCGGAAGGCAGATGGGCATGAGTGCCTTCTCGCTTCCCGTAAAGTTGAGCGGTCTCGCCAGCTTCAGCAAGGCGTAATCGTAGTTCAGGGTGGAAGGGTTCCATTGCGGATGAATCGTGATCTGTGGCTCGAGAAAACATGTAAAATTATTTTTGTTAATTAATCCGAATGTTGAAGCAAACAGCTCGCTACTTCGGGAGTTCGACTCTCGCCCCTGTCTTTTACGACGCTGAGAGGCATTGCACCGGTTTGCGTTCAAAAGCGGGCGACTGTGATGGGTACTTTAGGGCACATGTGGCACAAGCTCGTGGCATAAGTCGACGAAAAACAAAAACGTGGTGTTTTTAGCGTTTAGCTTCTTAATATCGAAACCAAGAAATGTCTCTCACATATTATAGACACCCGGAATGAAAGTAAGAAAAAAATGTTTCAGGATCATTAATATTTGAAGTTCTGGTTGGCGTGCTAACTTTTTTTGTGGGAATATTTAACTTTCCTCTTGGGTTCTTAGGCTATCCTGGACATCCGAGAAACGACAGCCTTTCATGAGATATTTGTATTCAAGAGAAAAAAAAGCGCAGATGAAATAATTTGAAGAAAACAATTTGAAGTAATTTTGTCAGAACCGATCGATCAGCACCTTCTTGCAAATTGACGGCCATTGGGCTCTTTCCAGGTTTGATATATATATACGTAATTGCAAGTGATAAGGTTGTGCTTCTCGAAAAAATACGCGGACAAGGAGGTATACACGTCGTTTCGGGCGGACGCCCTTCTTCAAGTAATAGACCCGAAAGACGGCAAGAAATAGGCAGGGGTCGGACACGTCACAAAGGTGGGGTTAGGTACATTGGCCGAGAGAGAGGGGCAGGCGAAACCGTTAGAAGACATGACGCCCTTTTCGCAAACCACCGTCCTAAAGACAAAAAGAACCCCTTTATAGTTATGTACCATCCTAAAGTCCCAAAACTAGCACATAAACTCTTCTCCAGCTGCAACATCTCATCTGCACATCTCCCAACTAATTTCCAGGGCTCCTTCCGTCGCTTACCGCCGTCCACCGAACCTCCGCACCCTTCTTGTCAAAAGTAGCCTGAAGGCGAAAAACAACAAAGACCCGGCTGGCATCATACCTGGCACCACGCCCTGTAATGCTCCCAAATGCCTGACTTGCAGGCACCTTGGCTCCCCGCAGCACCTTAAATTCAAAATTCCGACAACCAGACCTGCAAGTCAGCCAATGTCATCTACGCCATTTCCTGCACGAGCTGCCCCGACATATTGTACATCGGAGAGACAGACCGACGGCCGCGCGAACGATTCCGTGAGCACCGCCGTCTCGTCACCCGGAGATTGTCCCCCGCAGGGGGCACCCGTGAAAGCAGGTGTTTGGAGAGTAGCGTCTCCACGGACCCCAGCCACGTGGGCCACCATACCTGCACGCAGGGGGCACCTACTTTAGTAGGTGCTTGGTGAGTGGCGTCGCTACTATCCCCAAGCCTTGTGGGTTCGCCCACCCACGTCTGGCTGTGTGTGGCTTAACCCGTGTCCGGGGAAAAGGGGACCCTGGTGGTTGAGCTGAGCTCGGGGTATGTTTGGACCCTTCGGGGCCCCCCGGGCGAGGCAATACACCGCTTCGGCCCCTGCTTCTCGTAGACGGGTGTCCTGGCTTGGCCCGACCAGGATGATTCAGCCGGTCGCCTCTTCTACCCTATTCTTCCTTCTTTTACTTTTCCTCCCACCTCTTTCTCTTTTCTTCTACACTCTCTTCCTTCTTTTTTCACCTTCTTAGTCGGCAAGGGCCAAACTTGAGTGGAAACACGTCCTGTCCCTGCGACCACATTAGGGTATAGTGCCCGGGCAGCACTGGTAGGCATTTCGTCAGAGAAGCCCATCTTGCTATGGCACATTACCTACCCCCTTGTTGGGCTCTGTGGTGGGTGGTGCACCCGGACACTGAATCTTTCTCCCATCTTTATGGGTTCTCAAGTTAAACCTCCCTCTGATCGGGCCCTGAAAAGGGTCCGCACCGAAGTCCCTAGAAAAGACACGACCCCATCTCCTCCTGCGTTCCCCAAATTTTTGGTTATGCAATCCGAAGATGACACCCCGCTCTCCAAGATGTCCCCCTTTCTTGTTGCGAAAGTGCTAGAAAGTGCGGTCGGTAAGAACTTTAAAGCCAAAAAGATGCCCTCAGGTGACCTACTTGTGGAAATTGAAGCCAGACAGCACTGTACAGCACTCCCGGCGTTGAACTCCGTGTCTGATCACACTGTGATCGTTTCACCCCATCTTACACTCAATACGATTCAGGGCGTTATTTCTGAGGATGACCTGATTGAGAGTTCCGACACTGAAATACTTGAAGCGCTCTCTGAGCAAGGAGTTGTTGCTGCGAGGCACATCTCCCTGCGTCGGGATGGTCAAGAGCGGAAAACGAAACACATAGTTCTAACTTTTGATTCTACCACACTCCCCGATGCTGTTAGGGCTGGCTATCTTCACTGCAGGGTTAGCCCCTATATGCCTAATCCTCGAAGATGTTTCAAATGCCAGAGGTTTGGCCATGGCTCCCAGCATTACCCTGGAAAAGCCACGTGTGCGAAATGTGCCAAATCTGACGACCCACACTGTGTAAACTGCGGTGATCCCCACCCTGCCTACTCTCGATCCTGCAGAACGTGGAAAGAAGAAAAGGAAGTAATTAATCTTAAAGTGAAAGAAAATCTCTCGTACCCAGAGGCACGTCGTCGCTTCGGATTCTTGCGCAAGGGCAGCTATTTGCAGGTGGTGCAGCGGGGACCTGCACCACTGATGGTAGCAGTGGCGACCCAAACGTCCTTTCTGGACTATGGGAAGCCACGGCAGTCCCCCACGCCCCAGCTTAAGATTCAGCTTCCGGGGCATGTTATTTCGGCTGGGCGGTCTACGGACCTTCCAAGTCAGAGTGCGAACCCTCGCGCTCCAACAGGGCAAGAGCCTGGGTCTTCTCAGGCTGTTTCCTAAACCCGGGAGGGGCCGGTGGCTGCCGCAACCGTCCCTCCTCCGCGATCTCCTTCCAGGGAGAAGGGTCGACACTCTCGCCCACACTCCCTGGAAAGAGCATCATCGAAGGAGCGGCATGGCTCTCGTGCCGCACCTGCAGCGCCTAAAGGACAGGAACGGGTGGACTTGGGCGACGCTTCGCACAGCACCTCCTCTGCCCCTTTGGCTGGGTCTGGTCGCGGACGGCGCAAGGCGCCCCGTTCCCCAAACCTAAAGAAACCTCCAGGAAAAGCCTCGCGTCAGGAAACTGAGGCCATGGATGAGTGTGAAGTCTCCTCTCCTGCGTCTGACCAAGACGACATGGAGTGGCAGACTACTAAGAGTAAAAACAAAAGCAAAAAACCGGTGATCCCACCAACATGATGTTGTACATTCTTTCTTGCCCTGCGCGGCAGAGTTGCCGTTTTTACTTTTACTTGTACCTTACTACTTTTACTGATTTACTAATATTTAAGTTAGTTTCAGAATAATGGCTAAATTTACTTTTATGCAGTCGAATCGCCGCGGCCTTTTACGGAATATTGACGATGTTAACCTTTTTATGGACAACCTCCGTCCTATAACTCTCTCTTTACAAGAGACGCACCTTAATGATCATCATGTGTCTATTTTACGTCGTCGCCAAGTTTTTATAAAAGATCGTTCCACATCAAACTCATCTGGTGGAGTAGCGGTAATCGTCCAAAGTGGAGTTGCTTGTTCTCAGATTCCTCTTTCTACACCCCTTGAGGCTGTAACTGTACGTCTCCTCTTGGACCGCATCATCACCATTGTTTCCATCTATACTCCACCAAATGTTCCACTGCATATTCATGATCTCCATGATTTAATTACTCAGCTCCCTCACCCCTTTTTACTTTTAGGAGATTTTAATGCCCACCACCCCTTGCGGGGTGGCACACGCCAGGACTCGCGTGGTGGGGTCATTGAACGGTTTTTATTGTCATCAAGTCTCTGCCTTTTGAACAGCAGAGAACTTACCTTTTTTAGCGCAGCTCACAACTCATTTACAACTATTGATCTTTCCATTTCATCTCCATCCTTGGTGTCTTGTTTCACATGGAGCGTTTTAAATATTCCTTTTGGAGGCGACCACTTTCCGGTTGCTCTGGAGAGCGTCAAATCTGTTCCCAGTGTCATGAAACGGACTCCGCGTTGGAAGCTAGAAAAAGCAGACTGGGCTCTTTTTAGCCAAAAATCCAAGCTTGTTCCCTCTATGTTCTCTTCATTAACTTATGATGATGCCACAGCCTACATCACAGAGCATATAATTGGTGCTGCCCTTTGCTCCATCCCTCAAACTTCTGCGAACATTCCCAAGAAATGTAAGCCTTTGTGGAATGAGGATTGCTCCACCACAAAGAATAACCAAGATAAGGCTTGGGGTGTCTTGCGTAGATACCCGACATCGGTGAACTTGATGGAATTCGAGAGACGCAGCGCTTGTGCCCGCTGGACTCGGAAGCAGGCTAAAGTGAAATCTTGGAGAGGTTACTTGTCCTCCATCAGCAGCTATGTTCCATCAAAGGAAGTGTGGGACCGACTTCACAAGGTCGAGGGGAAATACCGTTGTTTTACGATCCCCCTTTTTCCTTCTTCTGGAGCCTCATTGCTAGACCAGGCAAACGTGTTGGGCACTCACTTCGCTGCTGTTTCAAGCTCCGCACATTACTCTCCAGCATTCCTGAAGCGTAAGACAAGCATGGAAAAGACGAGGCTCTGCTTCGCAGGGGGAGTGCCTGCACCTTACAATCAGCCATTTACAATGGATGAGCTCGAAGTGACTCTCAACTCCCGCAAGAATTCTGCCCCCGGTCCTGATAGAATTCACTACGACATGATCCGACACTTATCTAGAGAGTCACTCAGTGCTCTTCTCACGTACTTCAATGGCCTGTGGTGTGATGCCTACTTCCCTGTTGAATGGAAGCGGGCTGAAGTTATACCGCTGTTGAAACCTGGCAAGGACCCTTCCCTTCCTGCAAGTTACAGACCAATAGCATTGTCAAGTCTTCTGGGGAAAACATTTGAAAGATTAATTAACAGGTGTCTTATTTATTTTCTCGAGCAGCATAA